ATTGCAGCTGGGGTGGACATGAATGAATCGAATCAATCCCCGAAAGAGAGGGATTTCAAGGACTGTGCAGTATGAAACTGTATAATTGGGGATAGCTTATAAGAATTAATTCTAGGATGGGTGACCTCCAGAGAAGTTTTCCTAGAAAATGTGCGAGCGAGGACAAAGCACGCTGAAAAGTCTCATGTTAGTTTGTGGGGACAGTCATTGATCTTGCAAGTGACTGGGCATTACAAGCCCCACATTTGACCTCAAGAAATGATCATAGTCTTGAGAAAATAAACCCAAACACTTGATATCCTTCCACCTTGCATTCGCCTAGCAGTCAACCAAGGAAGGAGGGATCAAGAAGAAGGAGTTCTTACACGTCATCAAGGAATGATCGTGTGGATCAACATTAATAGACCATATCCTTTTTAGTGTCTTCGAGTGATGAAGGTATGAAAACTAAAAACCCTATGTATTTTAACGAGTAAGTCCTAAGGCACTCATGAAGACCGTAATGAATTACGGGTTCTGCAACGTATAATGAAAAGGAAATATTAATTTTTCACCTTCACTTATAAAACAAATAACTCCAATTTTTAACTTTCATTGATTGTGTGTTGGGGGCTGAAATGGGGAATGGCCAACATTGGACTATGATGAGAACTCGCAAAAACACGCATCAAGAGCCATTACAAATTCACTGAGTTGCTGAACTTAATTGACAATTGATACTTCCCGGCAAGTATACCGATCACACAAGTAATATAGATAGTAAGTAAAGTATCGTTTCCACAGGGATTGGGTCGAATATCAATTAATAATTCTTTTCAAGAATGGATGAGTTCAAATGGTCTTGACAAATATTATCAATTTGTGTGAAATCGAGAACTGAAAATAAGGACTTGTTTTTGTATTTTTAATTATGAGAAAAAGAATAATAAAAAGAATTGATGTTTTGAAAATATGAGAAAAACATTGTAGCTAGAGCGCACTCACCTTATGATCCCCACTTCTTACGTTGGATTGATTTACAATATTCATTTATAAAATTACTCGGATAAATTATTATATAAAATAATTAGTTAAATCTCAATCCCTTGGCAATTTAACCCTTTAATCTCATTTGAAATCCTAATCCCTTAGCAATCCCTCATTAAAATTAAGCGACGAACTCTATAATTTAGGCATCCGCAATTCAATACACATCTATTCCTAGCATGCATACGAACCGTTATCCTACCCTCTTTCAGGATGAAAACCCCAATATTCCTATCTAGTGTTCTAACCCTCAGACTATTATCAACTATTAGAGTGATCAATTCTAATAAAGAAAATATCAAATACGAACAGGGTAGAGATAAAGATAATTATATAAACGAGCAATTATAAATCAATCCGTCGTAACAAGGGTTCACATAGGGTTTGTGACCCTAACTACAATAAAAAGTAACTAGCCAAACATAATCATGGCTAAAAATCCAATATTCATAAAAACATAAAGTAAAAGAGAAGAAGAAGAAAAAGAAGAAGAAGAAGATCAAGAATTTCTCTCCGGAGCTCTCCTTTTGACGCACGACGGTCTCCTTAGGTCAAGAATACCTAATTCTGTGCTGAGCCTCCTTTTTATAATCTTCTTTTTCATCTTCCAAAATTTCCCTCTTGAAAAGCACGGGCTGTGATCTCCGCAAACTGGCGCTCTCAGCGCCAGTTCCACGCCAAGAGCGTGGTTACCTCTGAATCTTCACGCCATCAGCGTGAAATCCACGCTATGAGCGTGGGAGAAAGGATGGTTTCACGCCATCAGTGTGAACTCCACGCTATGAGCGTGGGAGTTTCTGGTTCTTCACGCCATCAGCGTGAAATCCACGCTATGAGTGTGGATCTTCATTTTGGCAAGTCTCCATTTGGCTCCAGTTTTGTCTGCTTTTCCCATATGCTGAAGGCATATCACTGCACCCGTCTGGAATTGCGTTAACAGACTTTTATATTTTTTTATTTCTTTTTTCCTGTAAAAACACAATCAATAGGTGAGAAATATCATTTACATAAAAGAATCAAGATAATAAGTAAATATGTATTTAAATTGCTCTTTTATTACTTAATTATTATAATTTCCAGCTTGGAAAATCGCATTTTCCAGAGGCACATCAACAATCCGGGAAAGTTATTGTTGAATCAGTGGTTGATGGTCATCAAAACGCTTTTGATGACCATTGAGGCATTATTGAAGAGAGGCTACAATCTATGCAACATCCTCCACTTTCATGGTGGTGGTGGAACTCAGATAATGAAAGCATCAATGTTACGTTCTTGATGGAAAACAAGGGAAATAAAAAATAGTAACAGTAAAGGATTTAGTGTTCTGACAATATATCACTTCTCTTGTATAGATACAAACGCATAGTAAGCAACTCATAGTAAGCAACTCTTCGCTAACTAACAAGCAGAACATAGAATAAATTAGTAACTTACTCTTTAACAATATTTTCAACTTTAATCATGACTACACAACCATATAACCGACGTTATTAAAAGAAAAATGTAACATGTATACGAAATATGATAGTCAGTTGAGATTATGATATAAGTATATTGGAGAAAAATAAGTAGGATATACATAAAAAAAAAAGATAAACATAATATCATATTCCTATATATATTGACAAAAAAAATATTCTTATAATTTAATATATAATCTTCAACCATATTTACATATCATAATGATAATTCTATACTTAAATATGATTTTTATTAATATAACTACATAACCTTACTTTTATTAAATCCCCTTTATAGATAAATTTTTTAGAGTTAAATCACTCCCCATTACACCTCCTTTTTAAATTTTAGAGTACTTTTTAATCCTCGACAAATATTACGGTGTTCAATTTAATCTTTTAGAAAAAGAATCAACTTGTGGTCTATGTTACACCGACACTGATACGGGACACAGTATACGACACAACACGACACTCCGATTCGTTAATTCTAAAAAATGTTAAATTTTGACACGTTAGGACACGTTTTGATATTATATAATATTTTTAATTTATGTAGTGTAGATTATATTTAGTACTTAATAATTTAACAAAAAAATAAAGCTAAACTTATAATACTCATCAATTTTGCAAATAAATATAAGATATCCCAAATATTTATATTAAACTCAATAAAATCGTAATCATTCTAATAGTTAGAACTCAAAATGCAACGCAACGTAACTTTTGAACCTTTTTTTGAATCTTTGCAACGAGTATTGGAGTGTCGGGTGTTGGAGTATTCAAGTGTGATGAGTCCCACATTGGTTGATAATGGGCTAAGTGAAAAGTATATAAGTGGAAGGGACCCATGAACCCAATGCCTTAAGGTTTTGGGTTGAGACATGGTGTCGGACCCACTTGGTGTACTTGGAGTAACTTGGCTCATTGGTGGCGGTCTCCCGCCACGGGCTTCCCCTGGACCCGCCTGACATTGGTATCAGAGCCGGGTTGTGCTCGAGCTAGCCTGGTAATCGGCTAGGAGGCGGGTTGAGTACTTGTGCCAGGAGTACTCGGTTGAGGGAGAGCATATCAATGTTGGGTTTCACACTTGAGGGGGAGATTGTTGGGATATTCAAGTGTGATGAGTCCCACATTGGTTGGTAATGGACTAATTGAAGAGTATATAAGTGGAAGGACCCATGAACCCAATGCCTTAAGGTTTTGGGTTGAGACATGGTGTCAGATTCAATTGCTACGGTTGGTGTAGCCTTAGCTCATTTGTGGTGGCCTTCTGCCACGGGCTTCCCCCTGGACCCGCCTGACATTGGTATCAGAGTCGGGTTGGGCTCGAGCTAGCCTGGTGATTGGCTAGGAGGCGGGTTAAGTACTTGGGTCTCTAGGGTACTCGGTTAAGGGGGAGCAAATCAATGGTGGGTTTCACACTTGAGGGGGAGATTGTTGGAGTATTCAAGTGTGATGAGTCCCACATTGGTTGGTAATGAGCTAAGTGAAGAGTATATAAGTGGAAGGACCTATGAACCCAATGCCTTAAGGTTTTGGGTTGAGATGTGATGTCAGACCCACTTGATGTATTTGCTCCACTTAGCTCATTGGTGGTGGCCCACCGCCACGGGTTTCCCCTAGACCCGCCTGACAGTGGTATCAGAGTCGGGTTAGGCTCGAGCTAGCCTAGGAGGCGGGTGGAGTACTTTGCGCTTCGGGTACTCGGTTGAGGGGGAGCATACCAATGGTGGGTTTCACACTTGAAGGGGAGATTGTTGGGATATTCAAGTGTGATGAGTCCCGCATTGGTTGGTAATGAGCTAAGTGAAGAGTATATAAGTGGAAGGACCCATGAACCCAATGCCTTAAGGTTTTGGGTTGAGATGTGGTGCCGGACCCACTTGGTGTACTTGGAGACTTGGCTCATTGGTGGTGCCCCCGCCACCGGCTTCCCCTGTACCCGCTTGACATCGGGAAGTGTCGAAATGTCAGGAAGTGTCGGACACGATACGTCAAGATTTTTGAAGTGTCAGTGCTTCATAGCTTGTGGTTCCTCTAAAATTTAAATTAGATCCATATTAATTCTTTTGAGTGGGACTAACGTGAGTCTTCTTTGAATCTCATAGAGATCACAATTTCGACTAACAGAATCTATTTTAAATTTCAGAGAAATCACATGTTGAATTTTTTTTTAAAGAATTAAAATAGACTCCATATTTTTTGCTGAAAACAAATCAATTAGTTAAAATGTTGGTTAATCATATTTCGAAACACAAAAAAAAAAATCATTAACTTATCAAATTATCTATTGAGGTATAAAAAAAATTCAACGAAAAATAGAAACAAATTCACTATCTATTTTACATAAAGGAGTAATTTCCCGTATAGCAGTAAAAGAAAGGTATTTTACTCAAAATTTTAACAACATTCGAGTGTACTTTGAAAATATTTATTTATTTATTTATTTATTTTTTCATTTTAACATAAAACCAATAAGTAGATGGTTGAGTACACCCTGCAAACATTTGATTCGAGAAAAAATCGATTCTTCGAATTCTGAATAATTATAAAAAATGGCAAAGCATGAGGACCTTCCGGTCCCTATATACGACACACTGGACCCTGTGTACGGTGTAGGAACTGATAAGGAGGAAGCTGAGCGTCGTTTCGATGAATTGAAGTCAAAGTTTGTGGAACTGTTCGGTGAACCTCCTGAGGTGATTGGTCGGTCACCAGGAAGAGTGAACTTGATCGGTGAGCACATAGACTACGAGGGTTATTCTGTGTTGCCCATGGCCATCCGCCAAGACACCATCGTAGCTATTCGGAAAGTCCCAACCCAAAACATTCTAAGGATTGCTAATTCCAACCATCATAAGTATCCATTGTGCACTTATCCTGCTAATCCCAACCAGGTTTTGCAAATTAATGTTTGGCTGCTTTTCTTTCTAAAAAAAAATAAATTTCATTTTTTAGATTTTTTGTGTTTTTTTTATTTATATTTTATTATTGTTTATTATATATTATTTATTAGGGTAGGATATTGTATCAACCAATTAGTATTATTATCGATGTTACTATTAATCAATTTCATCGTTAGATCAATTATGTTTATCTAACGGTTATATTTATTTTCAATGGTCATGATTTTCCATATTTAATACTTTATATTTATTTCCACTTTGTATAGTTATAATTTTTTATATTTAATGCTTTCTGGCGATCGTAACCATACAAAGAATCAACATAATCGATCTAACGATAAAATTGATTGGTGGTAATATTTGCACTAACCCTGGTTGTTACAATATTTGCACTCTTATTTATTATATAAACCCAACCGAATAAATTTGAGATAAAAGGTGCTGATATTGATATGGATGTTGTTGCAGGTATTGGACTTGAAAAATCACAAATGGGGACATTATTTTGTTTGTGGGTGGGTGGGTTAGAATATTCAATTCTTTTTCTTCTCTTGTTTTAAGGTATATATTTGCAAGTTCTGGTTGATATAAATGCAAATTGTTTTTTATTCAAGTCGTTAGTGTTTTTGGCATAGTTTCGATGAGCAAACACCGCTTAAGTGGTCGGGTTGTGTTTGAATGAGTTTCTTAAAACAACTTTTGAAACCCATATAAGTTGTTTTGAGCTTATTTTCTTTAAGGTAAATGTTGAAACTTATGAAAATATGCATTTTCTAAAGATAAATATAGCTTAGGTACTAGCTGTTTTTATAAGTGAATTTTTCTAAATTAACATGAATTGTTAAAATTTCATTTTTTTTTTGCATAATCGGTTAATCGCTTCTCGAACTTATCTATCAAAATTTTGTTTAATTTATTTTAGACTGCATTTATGACAGTAGATTTATTTAACAAGCTTTATTCTAATAAGTACTCATATATAAGTATTTTATCCTAACAGGGCCTTAGTTACTCTAATTTAATGTACTTATTTAAATTTAAAAAATAGTGCTCATATGTTGTTTTAATGATGTATTTCTTCTTGTGAACAGAAAATATGTTGTAGCTATGAATGATAGATGTTTACCATCTTCTTGTGTAAACTTTCTTTTTAATGACAAGAACAAAAATGTTTTATTATGTTTTAATTATTCATCCATTGATAGTGTGGTATTTTTAGGTACAAAGGATTTTATGACTATGTAAAATTGAAAGGAGTGGATGTTGGTCAACCGGTTGGACTTGATGTTCTTGTTGATGGGACAGTTCTGACAGGTGTGTTGTTCATTTGTTTAATTTAGAATGGTTCTGTTAATTAACCAAACTTCGTTCATGATTACAGTCATCTTTAATACTTTGTTAGAGATGATAGAGCCTTGTCTTTTGTTTGTTAATGAACAATATTTACTTTTTATAAAGGGTCAGGACTATCAAGCTCAACAGCATTTGTTTGTTCTTCTACAATTGCAATTATGGCCGCTTTTGGTGTGAACTTCCCAAAGGTATTCCATCTATGCTGGAATGTAGTTTCTAGATAAATTGAATGGAATCGACGTGGACAATCTAGCTAAATTCTGGCATTATGAAATGTTTTTGATTTAATGTTACGGACCTTGAGATCACCACCCCAAAAGCTAGCTCAAAGGGTGGGAGTGCCCAAGGCTTTATAAACTCCACATTAGTTGTATAGGCAACCAATATGGGACTTGTAACATTTAACTCCTGCGATCATAATTTTTTGTTCATTGTAATTATAAGGATATGTCATGTATGACAGTTCTAATGGATATTTTGCCTGTTGTTCAGGTAACAGAAATGATACCTGATTTTTTGAAGTATGTGAAAGCAATAGCATATCTTAATCCTTTATCAGTATCACCACTGATAGGATAGTGTTACTGGAATTTCATATGTTGTTCATTTAAGTATCTTTATTTCAAAAAATTCTGTGACAGTTGAAATTAATGTTTTGTTGATAGGGATCTGTACTAAAATAGACTAGAGTTGCAACGTTGAGTGGTAGGTAAAGAAAGAAACTGGAGAGATGGGGAAGAAGAATTCTGTTATTATTATGTTATGGAGAGAGAGAATACAAGGGAGAGTATCTCTCATCTGGGAGCCTGAAACCCTTTGCAAAATATACCTCCACCAATGGGTCAAAAGACAAACCACAATAAGTGGGATAACATCATAACACCATATCTCAATCCAAAATCTTAAAGTTGTAGGTTTATGAGTCTTTCAGACTTATATGGTCGTCACTTGATTCATTTCTAACTGATTTGGAACTACAACACTTACAAATGAGAAATCTCAGTTGACAAACTATTATTCCATCCTAACCAACTTCGTGCATTTCCCACAATCCCACCTATTTAACTGCTCTTCCTTCCTAACTTCCCTACCTGCTGTTGTAGCCGCCTCAACTAATCCTTGGATTCCTCATTTTTATTCCTTTGGGAATAAACACTCCAGGTCCTACCCTCAACATTATGTTAAGGCTGGGCCTCGTGCCTAACATTTATAAACCTTGATTTCTTCATGATTTAATTCCGTTTTTATGTTTGTTTTCTAGTGTACTTTCCCCCCTTAATATTGCAACAAGCTAATTATCTACTGTTTTATGTAATAATTAATTTTAGCTTTTGTCTATAGCTTGTCTATTATCTGAGATACAGTACAATTACATCCGCCATGAAGTGACAAATTACCACAGGGCTAACTCTAACAGTGGAAACATGCCTTTGGAATGCAATTTTATTTTCTTTAAATTATTTACATTTCATGTATCTAACACTCAATACATTGTTGACAGAAAGAAATTGCACAACTTACATGTGAATGTGAAAAACACATAGGAACACAATCTGGAGGGATGGATCAGGTTGTATGCCTATTTTGTTGCATTAGTTTTCTACTGTAATTTTAATGCAAATTTGTTCCAATGAATGTATAGGCTTCCAATCACCTTCTTATGATAACCTTGGTAACTACTTCATAACAGCCTCTTGCAAATTGGCACTGATTGACTAGCTTTGTTTAACTAATTAGCACTGTATAGAACCTCAGGTGAATGTATTTGTATTTTTTCTAATCTATTATTCAGAGTAAAGCTATTATTAGGAGATTCTACTTAGGCCTTTCTTTCTGTTTATTATCATATGAAGTGTAAATTTTGAAACACGAACTCTTTACAGTATCAAATACAGTTTAGAGCCAATCTTTTGATAGTAACAGGTTGAGCTGTATTTTATGTTTCTAAATTTTTCATTTCATTGAACTTTTATGCTGGTTACTGATAATTCCTTTTATATGAGGCCTGAATTAAAAAATTAATGTAGGCTCCAAACTGCAGTTGAAGTCTTGTTACAGTACTCTGCTTCCGTCCAGCTTTTATGATAGCTTTTTTATGAATGGATTTGAATTGTTACAAAGTTTTTATGATTTTATCTATTGGATAGTTTAGATATGTCAGTGAAACCAATGGATCTTGCTCTTAGAACATCTGACCATGTATCAGGACTTGTATCATTTTCCTGTTTGTATTTGATAGGCAATCGCTGTCATGGCCAAAACTGGGTTCGCAGAGCTGATTGATTTTAACCCTATCCGTGCCACAGATGTGCAACTTCCTAGTGGTGGGACGTTCATAATAGCACATTCTTTGGCTGAGTCTCAAAAGGCTGTGACAGCCGCTACAAATTATAATAATAGGGTTGTTGAATGTCATTTGGCGTCCGTAAGTACTTTTCAATTTAAGATTTTGTATTTTTCATTCTGTATACTTATTGGCTGCCCCCAGCATCATGTGAACTATGGTGTCAGGGATGGAGGTTGAGGGTGGGATGCAGATGCAATCAGCCTTGGTGACTACCTTGCTCCTGTGTTGCATTTGCACGATGTACCCTTCCCTAGTTCGCAACTCTAGGCATTTGACAAAATAATAATAATAATCACATGGCCTTTTATAAAATGAAAATGGAAAAAATATTCATGTTGGAATTTATTAATTTCTTGATATCTTTCAAGAAAATATTAATTGATTATACATTAAAACTCTTTCTATTTATGTTTGACAAGTGGTAAACATGATTCTTAATTTATGATTGTCTTTTAACCTGTCAGAGTACACATTTAACTTAATGGATAGGTAGACTCGTTGAGTCTAATAAGATTTAAGTTCTTTCATATCTCAAAATCTAAAGTTTTGCATTAGCTACATATTTTATTAAATAGGAAGAAGAAAAGTGAAATCTGTTGTTCATTAATTCTAGATTGTTTTGTTCCTTTAATGTTGGAGGCAAAAGGGCAATCATTATGTGCTGTGTATTTTTATGTACATACTAGTCCTCTTTTGTTTAGCAGACCTGCATGATTCCCTCTTTTGTTGCTGTTTATATATTTTAACTTGCAATGTGTGACTGTAAAATTTTCCAGATTGTTCTTGGCATAAAGCTAGGAATGAAACCACAAGAGGCAATTTCAAAAGTTAATACACTCTCTGATGTTGAAGGGTTATGCTTATCATTTGCAAGTAGTCATAAATCTTCTGATCCTATCCTTGCTGTCAAGGTAATTTTACCTCATTATATCATTCTTGTTTTATCTTTTAAATTTCTAAATCTTGCCCTCATGAATACATCATGACTGTTACTTCAATTTATGAATTTGTAGTGTTTTATTAGATTCATGATAATGTAATCCTTCCTTGATCAAATAAAAAGTCCCCTTTTTTCACACAGGAATTTTTGAAGGAAGATCCATACACAGCCGAAGAAATTGAGAAAATTACTGAGGAAAGGCTCACTTCAGTTTTTAGCAGTAATCCAATATATTTGGATGTCATAAAAGTTGCTGCGAACTACAAGTTACATCAGGTACTTTTATATATCTCAATGTGATCTACTCCAGTTGAACAATATCTAATTTTTTTCTGTGCCTTTTCTATCACATGGTGGGAATTATAATTTCTCTACTGGTTGCAAACCAACTGTCATGTAGTTTTTGTGTTATTTAATTTTGAGACATTATTTTTAGAGAGCTGCCCATGTGTATTCAGAAGCCAGGAGGGTACATGCTTTCAAGGATATTGTATCATCAAAATTAAGGTGAGTCTTTGGATAGGAAACTATACTATTTTACAAATGCTCTTTTATTTTATGTAATTCCCTGGCAAGATATTTATGGACATGACTTTCATTTTTCCATGTATAAAGATATGACTTAAAAAACACTAATCCAAAACATAAACCCAATCGTTGTAGCATATATTTTAACCCCAGAAAAGTTATAAGTTCTGAAATCTCTCTTATTGAATATTTCTAGTTTATTTGGTGCATGATGCGATTTCTGTTATTTTTCTTTTTTCTTTCTATGACATGCAAACATTAGCTGGTGGAAAAATGTTGTTATACTTTCCTGCTTCTTCAATTTTAGTGATCTGATATGCTAGGCTTACGAGCGTCCAGGCTTGCATTATTAAGGATGTGTGCATTTGGAGTATATCGTCATGGCCTCTTGGGTATAAATGGGATGAGGACTACTTTGAATTTCTTCTAAGATGTATCCTGTTAATAATTTAGCTGAAAGTTTGATATTTTTTGTCTCTGTAATTTCATCAAAATAACTCAAGTGTTCATCTTATATTGAGTTGCATTTGATGGGGTCCTTTTGTTGGTAAAAAGTAAGCAATATTTCCAAATTTATTGGATTTTAACTATTCATTATTTTTTCAGTGAGAAGGAGATGCTAAAGAAGCTTGGTGACCTTATGAATGAGAGTCATTATAGCTGTAGTGTTTTATACGAATGCAGGTACTAAATAGTAACACAGTTTCAAAATGCAGTCTGCTATTTGAAAAGAGCATGCAAATTTATTTTTTTGGTGGTTTGGACTGTGTCCAGTGAGCTCTCTGCTTAGGATATGATTTGTGTTTTATGAGCTCTTTAAACCTTCAAATTACTGGTTAAAAAATGCTGCTTGTACAATATCATCTCTCTCTTTTTTACAACAAAAAAATGATTTTTTTTTTCCTGTTCATGGAATCAGTTGTTCGGAGTTGGAGGAGCTTGTCAAAATTTGTTGCCAAAATGGTGCTTTGGGGGCAAGGCTTACTGGAGCTGGATGGGGTGGTTGTGTTGTTGCTTTGGTGAAGGAGAGCATTGTCCCACAATTTATCCTTGATTTGAAGGTTTGCTGTTATATAATGCTTACTACTCAACAATCAGAGTTACACATTGAGTGCAATAAGCAAGTAATTGATAATAGATTCCGAATGTATATCAGGAACGTTTCTACCAGTCTAGGATCGACAAGGGGGATATCAGCAAGAATGATGTTGACCTTTATGTATTTGCTTCTAAGCCATCGATTGGTGCTGCCATTTTCAAGTTCTAGTATTGTAACAATTCCTTGTTCTTTTTCACTCTTGAAGGCCGTAAACATCTTAGGATTTGCCAAAAGATCTACATAAAAGTGTCACGTGTAATCTCTGATGGAACACAATTCAGTGATATCCTATCGTTGTCATAGAAAATCACTTTAGTTAGATATGCAAAGCAATAATTAACTTTGAGGAACATTATATTTTCCGGTAAGCAGTGAAGTCAGCTTATGTTATGAGATAGAACAGCATTTTATCACATCTTCATTTAGAAAGCTTTTCAGATGAAAGCTCTTTCTTGAAAATGGTAAATATTCAGATTTTTTGAAAGCAACATAAGCACAATTCTACAGGAGTCTCTTTGTACACAAATGATTGTGTTGACAATGTCACTCTGAAGACTCAGTTCTAACTTTTAAGAGCACTGATTTTAGGTGTGTGTGAATGAGATAGGGTGGTGGACTGTGATCTGTGAAATATGATGGTAGAAAAAAAGGTAGCAATGTTTTTTTTTTTTTTTATACATAGGTGGCAATGTTACATGTGTGGCCTTATGGCATATGTTAAAGAATAAAATAATATTTATTACTCATCTTTATTACTTTTAAAAAAATTTAAATACTTTTAAATTTTAAAGATATTAAATACCTGTACATTTCATTTAATAGTTCTTATTTTTCGTTTCTTAACTTGTGTCAAAAGAGTACAAGTTAATAATTTTTTTTTGCTATAAAAATGGTGGCATAATAGTTTGAATTAATAACAGAGTAAATATCCATTTTGGTCTCTGACAAAAAATTCGGTACCCATTCTAGTCCCTAACAAAAATAAAATAGCTTGGAAGTCTCCAACAAAGACAAATAGGTCCCACGTTAGTCCTTCTGTTTAATGCTATTAAATCCGGCCCGGTTATTGATCCGGTCAAGGTACTGGGTCACTGGTTCAACCGCTGACCCGGTAAGTATATGTAAATTTACAATTTATATTAAAAAAATTATAAATATACTTAAATACTTGTAAAAAAATATATCAATTTCAAATATTTTAATATGAAATAATAAATTACACGTCATTGTCCAACAAAAGATCAATCAAATATATAATATTTGTGATACTAGTATTTTAGGTTCAGTAAATGACATCTCTAACCATAAATCAAATCAAAATTTCCTGCATATTGCATAATCAAGATAATATTAGTGTTGTAGGTATATAATCTAATAAAATAAATTACAAATCAGTCAAATATTTCAAAAGAAAACAAATCATTTGTGTTTGAAAGTAAAAAAAAAGAAGACATTAATTTATGAAACTAAATTAGTTTTTTTTATAGACCGAGCCGGGTCACCGGTTGAACCGACCGGGTCACCGATTTTTACGAAAATCAATCGGGTTCGCACTGGGTCACACCGGTTCTGTAACATGGTCGGTCTAATATGAAAATCGGACCGGTTATATGACCGGTTCACCGGTTTCTGGGTCGACCCGGCCAGGTCGGTCCGGTTTTATAACATTGCTTCTGTTAGTCCCAAACAGACTGCGTCATTGACGGAGCTGATGTGTAACATTAATGGCCATGCTCAACTGCCACGTTGGAGGGGAAACGACGTCGTCTGGAGACCAGCGTCCACGTTGCTCAGAATCAATTGGAGAAACCAATTGAACATTAAGTTGTCCTTCCCCCTTAATTGCTTCACAGGAACGTCGTTGTATGGTGTAGGGTTCACATAAAGACATTAGGAGGGGATTGAATCAAAGATTGAACGTTTGAATTTGGGGATTACTGATTTAGGGTTTACTGATTTAGGGATTATCTTCAATTTTGTGCGTTATTTGAAACTTAGTGTTTAGGAGATGAATATTTCTTCTGAGAGGGGGAGCTTAAGCCCTTGTAGTTCATTTGGGTCTAGAAGTCAAGGAAGGAGAGCTGCTCCATTGTACAAATGTGGGAGGCACAATGTTCTTTACAAGACCATTAGAAACCCAAATAGAGCATTTTTTGGGTGTCCCAATTTCAAGGTGAGGTATTTGTTTGCATGCGTTCTTTGGCTAAGTTGAATGTTATTAATAGTTTGGTTTAATTTGGTGTTAGGAAAAGAAGTCATACTGCAACTTTTTTACATGGGTGGATGATGCTACATCTGATACCATGGAGCTGGAAGATTGGAGAATTACTACGCTAGAGTTGAATGTAGCTGAAATGGAATTCAAGTTGAAGTTTGTGGACATGAAGCTCAATGATGAACTGCAGCTAGAGATGAATGACCACAAAAAGAAGATTAATGAGCACCATATAAACATTAATGAACTATCAATGAAGATGCATGCAGAGTTTGAAAGGGTGGAGAAGGAAATTAAGCATGTGTGTAGGTGTGCTAGGGTGTTTGCTGGATCCATTATTGTTGTGTTTGTAATATGTATATATCTTGCAAGTAGGCTGGACTGAAATAAAAAATGTGGTTCTGTTGAGATTTGCTGGTGTATGTACCATTACATGTTGTAATAATTTTGGAATGTAAAGATTTCTAATGGAAGGACCAGTGTTGAAATATAAAGAAATATTGTTCATGCAATGTATATAAAATGGCTAATGTATTTGAAGTTATGTCTGTTGGCACAAAGTGTTGTATAAACACTAAACTAAGAATGTGATGGTGTGATTTATGCAGAAGTTAATTGTGTAAGTCATGACTGAAATCAGTATGTACAAGGGGAAATGACATTGCTGGTCTGTTAATAGCAAATGGTGGCACTCGTGTTACTAGAATGGGTACAGGGACCAAAAAGGACCCCGATAAAATTGTTGGGGACCATTATGGGTCTATGTGTTAGTAAACAAGGACTAAAAAGGTCCTCGATAAAAAAATGTTGAGGACTTAAAAGGGAACTGAATTTCTGATGGATGATAAGTGCAGTGAAGCTACACATGACCCTAAAATGGACACATCAAACACAAGAAAAATACCAGTGTTGACAGAAACCAGAAACTGTATCAGTAGAAGTAGTAATGACAGATGGTGTGGACCAAAATTTAAAATTGCACATTGAATACAGTAATGACAGCAAAGACAGATAGTAACCAAACATTTTGCATTCATTTCATCACATCCTAGTTACAAGTACTAACCATGTTGGACAACATGCCACAATCATACAAAAAAATCACACTGACACATTTCCATGAAGGCCAATACATATGTGTTCCAAAAAAGCATAATGTTCCTACTAACTTTGGCCATAACCAGAGGCAATACAAAAAATGGCGTAATGACATATTTCAACAGGGCCAATACCGAAGTATTTCCAAAAAATACCCTAATTACAATTCCAATCAATTCCTATATCAGAGGCATACAAAAAATGGCCTAATGTCATTGATTACACAGTATTCCAATCAATTTTGTGGGGCTGGTCTTGGTGGCTTCAACCCTGCTGTGGACATGAAGCTCATGAATCTGGCCCTAGTGCCACTACTTGCTACAGTTAATGTCTCATTGGTCACATTTGGTCTTCCTCTTCATCAACTACATCATTAGTGTCTTCATTGCTGCCATCCTTCTTGTATGCCTTCTTCCTTGGGGTCTGTTTTGCAAGCCTTTTTTCCCACCAATGGTGCAGTCTGTTCTGTTTCATCATCTGAATGGTCCTCAACACCTGGGGGGGAGGCTTGTATGCCTCATCCTCTGCACTCTCATATGAATCTGAATCTGAAGAAGCAACCTCATCATCTGCATTGTCATGTTTGGATGAATGACCACCATCCTCTGCACCCTCTTGCTCATGATTCACCCCATCACCATGTGAGACCTCCTCATCCGAATTAACCCTATGATCATGTGAAATCTCATGCTCCGAATTCACCCTATCATGATCTTGTGCATGGTCCTTATTATATGTGGAATTAACCACATTATCCTCTGCACTGTCATGTTCAGGTGAACCAAACTGAGGAATTGAAATGCAGTCTTCAAAATACACATGTGTCTCATTGCCATTACCTAAAGCAGCCTCACACATGGCACATACATCAGAATTGGTACTAAGTGGTCTGAGGCCTTGTTCCAAATTGGGTTCACCAGGCTTTAGCCACATCATCTTTTTGCATTTTTCATACCCAAATTGCTCAAACAGAGTGTTAAGGTCACGCAAATTACAGTAATCAATATCTATCTCAGGCAGTGAGTCTACTCTCCCATTTACATAGGTAAGCACTACATCTTCATCTCTAATTAAAACACCACTATGATGATAAACAATCACTATATATTCATACATCTGTACAAACCAAAAAAAAAGGTAGCTTTCTTTAATCCAGTGACTACTTCAAAAATGGGTACTTACTCATAAAACAAAGGCAAGACATGTGGTCCACTTAAACAATAAAAAACAATAAACAAACAGACAAATGGAACATGCATTTTTTTTTCAACACTTTGCATGTGGTTTTTAATTGTTCTTGGGTTAACCATGGACCACTTTACTCACACAGGGACCACACCACACCCGGTAGGAATTTGTTTACTCTAAACCCTAAAGTGAAACATGGACCACATTGTCTTGCCTAAAGTGAAACACGCATTAAACAATAGAAACTCCATGAGGACCACAGACAACAAATAGCAACTACAATAAAAAAGTGTTCCAAAATAGATTAGTGTCTTACATTTTAGTACGGAACGATGAGCCTCACACCAAACCCAAGGTATTTCTTCCTCCACTTTCCTCCGATTGTTGAACCACTGTAGAATCAAAATGCAGGGATATGTTGACAGAATGATCTTCTTCCTTCTCAACAATGGAACGTCGAACTTTCAAGAGTAGGAAATGGTAAAGTGAACAACGGTTAAGTGAGGGGCACTTTTGGGTTTCTCATTGTTATTCTGAGCAACATGGATGCTGGTCTCCAGACAACGTCGTTTCCCCTCCAACGTGGTAGTTGAGCATGGCCATTAACGTTACACATTAGCTCCGTCAGTTTGGGACTAACAGAAGGACTAACGTGAGACCTATTTGTCTTTACTGGGGACTTCCAAGCTAATTTATTTTTGTTATGGACTAGAATAGGTACCAAGTTTTTTGTCAGGGACCAAAATGGGTATTTAATCTTAATAATATCTCAATCCCTCACCCCAAGTTTCCTCAGGTGTGTTTAAAACAATTTATAATTAAAAGTTATGATGCATCGACACTGACACGGGACACGAGACACGACACGACACGCCGACACGTTAATTCTAAAAATTGTCATATTCCAACACGTTGGGACACGTTTTGATATTACATAATATTTTTAATATATATAATATAATTTATATTTAATACATATAACAACCAATAATAAGTCATATAACCAATCAAATATTCAAATTTTATAACATAAATATAAACAAAAATAATTTTTCGTACCTTGTTTATTTTTCATGTCAAAATTCATAACAGAGAAAAATTGATTTATAAATTTTTTTTTCATGTTTAGTTAATAAAATAAAATTTGGTTCTTAAAAAAAACATGTCAAAGCGTTGACCGCGTGTCGAAAAAAGTTGACTGCGTGTCGAAAAAATGTGTCAGAACGTGTCGAAAAAACGTGTCGGAACGTGTCGAAACATTGACCGTGTGTCGGACGCGTGTCGGAACTTGTCGGTGTCTGACGCATTTTTTTGGAAAAATGAGCGTGTCCATGCATATGAGATTAAAAGTATATTGAGAAATTATTTCGAGACAAAAAGGTAATTTTTGTTTTTTAAACGAGAAAAACGAGCAACTAAGTGGCTTTATAGTTTGTAAACGTTAATTTTGTTATCATGGAGCAAAGAAATATGAATGATTGAGGGAACGAATTCAAATCAAAGAAGCTTAAGTAGTACAAGAAAGATATCCCAAATGGAATAAGCGACCTAAGTCATTGCAGGATACTAAAACTAGTGTTTTAAAACTCAGTCCCATCTTGGGGTTGACCCCTTCGGCTCACTTCTTCTTTTTTTCTGAGGGTTCAGGTTAGTAGTTAAGTCCTACTTGCACATTGACGCTTCTAATCTCTGAAACCCCTGATTAAACCCATAACTCCTGGGTCAGAGGAGTCAAAGGGGTCACTGCATTTTTTTTTAAATTATACACGAAATGACGTCGTTTGATGTGTAAAAAAAAAAAAACAATCTCGCTGCTGCCTAGATTTAGAATTAGATTTGAAATTTGAATAGTTTTTCTTCTTCTCTTCCAATCTTCTTTCCCAGACCTAGACCCAGTTTCCCTATTCCGATGATCTCCTCCATTGTGCTGGTTCTTCTCTCCCCACCGTTAATTTGTCATGTCATCGCCTCTTCTCCACTATAATCTATTGGGTACGGATCTCTTTTCACATACTGTTGTAGTTGCATGAGAAGGACAAGAAGGGCCTAAGTTTGATGATATAACTTTTCATTAACTCCATTAAAATATGTGTTTTATACTTTGATTAGATTGTGAATATTGACTTGTGGATATAATTGATTAATTAAGTTAAGTATATTTTGAATCTTTAATGATTGGTGGTTTGATTTTTTTGAATTTTTCATATAGAATATATATTTAATTTTTTAATATATAAAACTGGATCAGCGAAGTGATCCCATGATCCCCCGATTGAACCCGTGACCCCTGACCTCGGTCGAATCGATGGTCGGGTCGGATTTGTAAACACTGAATAAAACACTATTCTTAACACTCACCATTCATTCAAAATTTAATTTGAAAGAAAAAATTATGAATTTTTAAGGAAATTTAGAACTAGTGTCATTACCGTTACTATCAGCAAAAAAAATCTTAAAAGAAAAAGGAAGACGTGAGTAAAACTTCTATCTTATGATATATATATATATATATATATATGAGTATATAAAACATTTGTACGAGTAATTTCACAAGAAGAAAAAACACCCCGGAATTTATTGAATTTCAAATATTTTACATAATTTGACCTTCATACATGTCTTGTTGTTGAAGGAACATTACACTTTAGGACGAAGACGAAGGTGAAGACAGTAAACCGATAAATCCTAACCTAACCAAATTGATTATTATCATGTTTGATTTGTTGTAAGTATCAGAATGCACAGAGTAATTAATTGGTTAGGTTTGATTCTTAACGTTGTTTAATTGATTTGGTTGTTGCAATGCCAGATATCAAATGAAACCCAACCTACTGGTAACCACCAATCAAGATTAATGATCATTGTATGCGTATTATTTCATACATCGAACTATGACTTTTTGGTAAAAAAAAGTATAAATTAAAATGTAATATTTATTTTTATTATTTATTTATTTTTAAGTTCATTAAAAACTGATACAACTTAATTTGACTTCAATCTTACATAAGCCTTACTAACAATATGCCCTTTTAGAAATTGAACAATTGAGTTGTTAAATTGAGCGTTTTCTACTAAGCTAAGTTATAACTATTGGTTAGT